CGCGCTTTCTGGCCACTGCTGTCACTGACTCTTTGTTTCAGTCCACTGCTGCGTGTGCTCTCGTTGCTGAGCTTGTTGACTTTGCTGCAGCCTATCGCTAGACTTTGCCACTAGTCTTGTTGCTGAGTCTGAGTCTGCGTCTGTCTGTCCTCCGTCCGTCGGGGGTGAGTGTGCTCTTGGCACGGACGTTCTTGAGGATAGACAGGAGGAGTTTGAGTGCTTTGCCGCTGCTGTACCTCATCTCGTGTCCATGCTGCTTGCCCCTGAGGGAGACCCGGATGCACCAGACATCCCGACCCCGCGCTCTTACGCAGAGGCGATAGAGGGTCCCTACTCCTCTCAGTGGCAGGCAGCCATGGACGCCGAGATGGCTTCCTGGAAGTCCACAGGCACCTACGTCGACGAGGTTCCCCCGCCTGGGGCGAACATCGTCAGTGGCATGTGGATCTTCAGGGTGAAGCGGCCGCCGAGTTCTCCGCCTGTCTTCAAGGCGCGTTACGTTGCATGTGGCTTCAGTCAGCGACAGGGAGTTGACTTTCAGACCTTCTCCCCTACCCCAAAGATGACCACTCTTCGGGTACTGCTGCACGTCGCCGCTCACCGTGACTACGAGCTCCACTCGCTTGACTTCAGCACAGCCTTCCTACAGGGCAGCCTGCACGAGGAGATCTGGCTGCGCCGCCCACCTAGCTTCACTGGGTCGTTTCCTGCTGGTACCCAGTGGAGCCTCCGGCGGCCAGTCTACGGTCCCCGCCAGGAACCCCGTGAGTGGCACGACACACTGAGGACGACTCTTGCTGCTCTTGGTTTTGCTCTTTCCACTGGTGACCCATCGCTATTTTTACGTACTGACACCACTCTGCGGCCGTTCTACGTTCTCGTGAACGTGGACGACTTGGTCTTTGCTACTGCTGACACTGAGGCACTCGCCCACGTGAAGTCCGATCTGCAGAAGAGACACACGTGCACAGACCTGGGTGAACTAACAAGTTATCTTGGCTTGCGGATCACCCGGGACAGAGCACAGTGCACCATTACCTTGACTCAGTCACACATGGTGCAGCAGGTCCTTCAGCGCTTCGGCTTCACGTACTCCTCGCCACAGTCCACTCCTCTGCCTACCAGTCACTCGCTCTCAGCTCCACCTTCAGACGAGTCCGTAGAGCCGAGTGGCCCGTATCCAGAGCTTGTGGGCTGCCTCATGTACCTGATGACTTGCACACGACCTGACCTCGCATACCCTCTCAGCCTTCTGGCTCGCTACGTGGCTCCCGGCAGGCACCGAAAGGTGCATTGGGATGTTGCGAAGAGGGTGTTGCGCTACTTGTGCAGTACGTCGGGCATGGGGCTTGTGCTTGGAGGACGGGCTCGAGTCGTCCTCACTGGTCACGCAGACGCTTCGTGGGTTGACGAATTGGCTACGCAGCGGTCGTCACAGGGTTACACCTTCAGTCTTGGTTCCGGTTCTGTCTCTTGGCGGTCTACCCGCTCTTCTTCTGTTCTCAGCTCCAGTTGTGAGGCTGAGATCTACGCTGGGGCCATGGCTGCACAGGAGTTACGCTGGCTCACCTACCTGCTGACCGACTTGGGAGAGGCGCCTCGTTCTCCTCCAGTTCTGTACGTCGACAACAAGGCAATGCTTGCCTTGTGTCAGGAGCACAGATTGGAGCACAGAACGAAGCACATTGCTCTGCGCTACTTCCTTGCTCGAGAGTTGCAGCAGCGTGGCCAGCTTCGTCTTGCTTACTTGGCCTCTCAGGCCAACACTGCTGATGTTTTCACCAAGGCACTTCAGCCTTGTGATCATCAGCGTTTCTGTACTGTTCTAGGCCTTGTACCTACTTTGCCTCACTTGCTTACTTCTTGACTCTGCTTGTACTATACTCTATACATATACCTGCATGCTTACACTTGCTAGGTTGTGTTCACTGTATTCTTTGTTCTCTTTTATATAACTCTGCATGTGAACTGGCCTTGTGGCCATTTGCTTGTGCTCAGACTGCGTGGTGACTTTGTGATCCACCCTGAGCTTGCTTTGCCTTTCTTGACTGGTCTTGTGACCTCTTGTTCTCCCCCACTTTGCCTATGGGGGTGTGTCAAACATATATGCTATAGTCTGTTTAGGCTGTAGTGGGGTAGTTCTCATAGGGTACAACACTTTTAGGTTTCCTACTTGTACCCTCCTGCTTTCTAGTTCAGTCATTCATTCGTTCCAAATTGTAACATACACCTTCAGCCTCGGTTTCGGCTCTGTTTCCTGGCGGTCTACCCGCTCGTCTTCGGTTCTCAGCTCCAGTTGTGAGGCTGAGATCTACGCCGGGGCCATGGCTGCTCAGGAGCTACGCTGGCTCACCTACCTGCTGACTGACTTGGGCGAGCAGCCTCGTTCGCCTCCAGTTCTGTACGTAGACAACAAGGCCATGATTGCCTTGTGTCAGGAGCACAGACTGGAGCACAGAATGAAGCACATCGCTGGAGAGTTGTGTCAAACTTATATGCTATAGTCTGTTTAGGCTGTAGTGGGGTAGTCCTTACAGGGTACAACACTTTTAGGTTTCCTATATGTACCCAACTGCTTTCTAGTTCAGTCATTCATTCGCTCACATTCTAACAAGTTGCAGCAGCGTGGCCAGCTTCGTCTTGCGTATGTGGCCACTAGGGCCAACACTGCTGATATATTCACCAAGGCACTTCAGCCTGGTGATCATCAGCACTTCTCTACTGTGTTAGGCCTTGTGCCTACTTTGCCTCACTTGCTCTCTGCGTGACTTTGCTTGTATTGTGATCTATATAGATACCTGCATGCTTACACTTGCTAAGGTATGATCACGATATTATTTGTTCTCTTTTATATAACTCTGCATGTGAACTGGCCTTGTCGCCCTTTGCTTGTGCTCGGACTGTGTTGTGACTTTGTGATCCACCCTGAGCTTGCTTTGCTTTTCTTGACTGGTCTTGTGACCACTTGTTCTCCCCCACTTTGCCTATGGGGGTGTGTTAGAATGTTATAGTGCTTACAGTTGTGTAGGGTATAGTGGGGTAGTAGCCCAAGGGGTACAACCCAATTATGGTTAGTACTTGTACCCAACTCTTTGATAGTTCATCCATTCTCGTTCGTTAGTTTGACAAGATCTGGCCCGACGAGCTGCCGCACCGCCAGTGGAAGGTGTTTGTTGGGCTGAGAAAAGCCCTTAGGAATTTTCAGGACTAAGATCGGGTGTTGACGTAGAGATGTAGGTAATAGCGGAAGCGTTTGTAACATCAGAGTTGCTTGAACCACCTTGTACTAGTGTGTGAGAACAAGATAAGTTGATAATAGCAGGGAAGTAGAAGGCTTTTATATGATTACAAAGGAATATGAAAGTTCTATTTTAATTGTTTTTGCTGTTGCGGTTCGATACAGTGCCGACTCGGGTAACTGCTCCGTAACGAGTCAGTTATGTCTCCTTGCTGTCGCACTGTACGTTTCGTCAGGTCAAAGGTCTTTTGATTTCGCGCAACCTCCGACGGTTGCCTTGGTTGACTTGAGTGTTTCGCTGTAGTCAGTTCCGTTTTTGTGTCGAAGCTTCGATACTGCAGAAGCGTTATAAATCACTTGTTTCCAACAGTGTTGACCCTGGTCGTAATGTGACACGGCGTGCTCGAAGCGCTCGTCCTCAGAAGCACCCTAAGGCAACGGGGACGTTGCCACCTAGGGGGGGAGGAGTGTAATGCCTACTCTACCTAACTACCGCAGATTTCCTATGTCAACATCGAGAGAGTGCTCGATGAGAAGTGACGTGAAGGCAATCGGGAAGGTTGAGTTGGAGAGGAAGATTTGTTTGGGATTTCCAACCCTCAACCTTGAGGCTTGGAAACGTCCAACCCATCTAAGTAAAGATTGGAAAGGTTGGATTTCCAACCAATCACATTGTGCCAAATATTGTTACAATCCATACAAAGAACCTAGCAACCATACAACACAATTAAGTTGGGTTTTCCCAACCAAATAAAGATGCCACATAGGCTCCAAGCCTAGAAGCTCCCCAACCATGGAAGCCATGGTTGGGAAGAGCCCTAAGGGGTATTGTAGAAGGGGTTGAAGCTTGGAGGCTCATTCCCACTTCCCAACTCCAACTTACCAATTTGGAAATGAGATTTGTCTAAGTCATTTTTGGTTCTCCTAACAAGCTCTCCTACACGACTAGAATTGTGTTTACGTCAAGGACAAGCTCTACAAGAAACTACCTACCTACTTGCTAAAGCTCCATCAACCTTCTTCAAGCTCTCTTTCTCCTCAAGATTCAAGAGTATTATCAAGGCTAGTTTATCCCTTGGTGGGATTAGCTTAATCTTGGGAGCCTTGTATCTTGATTTTATATATATTGTCAGGGAGGATTTATATTTAACACATGGTTGATGGTTGTCCCTGGTTGTTAGAGGTATTTTCTCCACATCAGGAATTCGTAACTCCTTCAGTGGGGTAGTTCAGTTTCCGTCTCGCCTGGGCAAATTGAACTTTCCTGAACCAGTTTATGTCTTCCAGAAAGCGAGCAGCTAGCGGCATACCAGGCCAGACCAGCGCGGAAGTCGGTCAGGCGTCGATTCCAACACCCGACCCGCCGCTTATTCGGTGGATCAAGGAGCAGCACGCTGCCGCCTTTACCCGCTGCGATGCCGACGGTAACGACGACTTCAGCGACGACTTCGCCGACGACTACGGCGACGGCGGCGACGATGGCGAAAGCGACGCCGAAAACGACGGCGAGTCGGGCGACTCGTACGATATCGACGAGTACCACAGAGGGCTTCTAGGAAGGCCGTTTGACTTAACAGACGACAGGTTTCGAGACGGAGAAACGGATCGAGAGTGGGAAACCGATGCAGAGGCCGAGGCGGGTCGCGTGGGGGAACGGGGTTTCGGAGTCCCATGGCACGAAATCCAGGCAGGCGAAACGGAAGGGGAGGGATTAACGGAGCTCGCGGCGCGGAAGATGCGGCAGTGGAGCAACGCGGAACTGATGGAGCTCGCAGCGGCTGTCGTTTTCTGCCGGCACAGCGGGGAAGTCACGCGGCGGAGAGGCAGCAGGGGGAACGCTTACTGGCGGCAGGTGTGGCGCGTGATCCGGCGGGGGAATCCCGGATGGCGGCGCATCCCGACGGCGATGTCGCAGCAGCGGAAGCGCATGAAATGGCGATACGACGCGGAGACGCTCGTCCCGCGGCGGAAGCGGCGGCGGCGGCGGGGGACGGGGCGGTGCCCCGCAAATGGGACGACGGGCGCGGAGCAGCTGGCGTGGGGCGCGGAGCAGAGAGGTGGCGCGAGACAGCAGACGGGGGGCGCAGAGCAGCGGGCAGGGGGCGCTTTGGGACAGCAGGCGGAGAGCGCGGAACAGCAGGCAGGGAGCGCGGAGCAGCAGGCGGGGGCCTCGGTTCAGCAGCGGCAGGGAGGGTCTACTAACGCGGATGAGCGGGCCATAGCAGAGGAGAGCACATTCGAGAGGAATGGGTCGAAACCACCAGCATGGTTTGAGTACATTCGCATGTTCTATCGGACTGAGCTGCAGGCGAGGAAAGACGTTGCTGTGAAAAGGACTAGAAGAGCAGCAAGAGCGTCAGCAGCAGCTGTTGTCGCGACGGCCTTAACTGCAATGAATTAGCCTGCTGAAATGCCAGCGTATGCGTTTCCTGAGAGCATTGGTTTAGGGTGGGGAGAGACTGGTGGGCAGCGGCGGCAGCAGCAGCTGCAGCAGCAGCAGCACCGACAGCGGCAGCAGCAGCAGCAGCAGCAGCAGCAGCAGCAGCAGCAGCAGCAGCAGCAGCAGCAGCAGCAGCAGCAGCAGCAGCAGCAGCAACGGGGGCAGCAACAGCATCAGGGACAGCAAGAGCAGCAGCACCAGCAGCCGCAGCAGCAGCAACAAAAGCAGCGGGGAAACAGTGGGCCCTCCCCATCATCATTACCGTTACCACCACCATTGCCATTACCCCCACTGTTACCGTTACCATTTCCATTTCCATTGCCATCACTGCTACTACCGTTACCTTCGCAATCCACGCCTCTCCTTTTAACAGCAGCAGCGCCGGCCACTGCCTCTCCCTTTGCACCTGCTGAGGGGCAACCCTCTGACTCGAGGCAACCCTCTGACTCGAGGCAACCCTCTGACAACTACCTGCAGTGCCTGCGCAACAAAGTCACCGCTGTTCCCACCTCTACAGACCCGATATTTGACTTCAGGCGAAATTATGGGGGATTTGACAACAACCTTCTGCGCCTGCCCGGTAACAACAGGGTTACGCTTGCTGCCGGCGCTACAGCCCCCCTGCCTGCTACAATTTCCTTGCCTGCTACAGCCCTCCTTGCCTTCAACAGCCCCCCCTGCATGCTGCAGCCCCCTTTCCAGCTACTTCCCCCCTGCCTGCTACATATTTCCAGCCAGCAAGTTATGAGCACGCAACAGCCCACAGGCAAGGGGCGCAGCAGCAGCAACGGGTGGTTTGACTGCTGGGGGAATCTCACTACGTGGTAGGGCTGGTGGGATGCATGGGAGGGAGCAGCGGGAGCGGAATGAGGTAAGATCATCAAGGAGAGGAACAGAGAGGTTCGCAGGAGGTAGAAAGGGTTCGAGTGCAGGGGTTTCGGGCAAGAGGTTAGGTGGGAGGTTGGGCGAGAGGTTGGGCAAGAGGTTGGGCGACAGGGTGGGTGAAAGATTAACTGCTGCCATGGGTGCGGCTGTGAGAAATGCGTGCCTTCAGTTTGATGAGCTCACTCGGGAGTTGTTAGCAGATGCTTACTCGCAGTTTGAGGAGCTTTCACAGCGACTGGCAGAAGATGCTTCTGCTCAGTTTGAGGAGATCGCGAGAGAGCTAATGGAGGAGTGTGCGACGGCTAGTGGTGTAACGGGTAATGGCCAAGGTGCCAAGAGGCGGTAGAGGAAGGTAGTGAGGAATGCTTGCGTTCAGTTTGATGAGCTCACTCAGGAGTTGCTGGATGATGCTTACTCGAGATTCGAGGGGCTGGCCAGGCTCAGGAGGATGCTTTTCGTGCATTGGAGTAGATTGCGAGAGAGTTGATGGCTGAGACTGTGACGGGGGCTGGCCATGCCTAGGAGGGGAAGAGGCGCAAGAGGAGGTAGACAGGGCAAGTGATGAGTTGCGTGGAATCAAGCTGACAGAGGGTGCTGCTTGCGTGCAGTTTGAGGAGATTGCGAGAGAGTTGATGGCAGGGTGTGTATGTGCTAATGGGTAATGGCCAAAGATGCCAAGTGGCCTAAAAAGGAGGCAGTTGCTGGAGGATGTGTACTTGCAGTTTGACGAGCTGTCGCAGCGGTTGGCAGAGGATGCTGCGTGCAGTTGACTAAACAGAAGGGTTTTAGAATGTGGAGGCTAGCCGAGATACCAAGAGGTGTAAGAGGATGTAAATACTAATGTTATGAGTTCAATGGAAGCAAATTGGTGACAGAACTCCTAAAAGCGTTAAATTTAACCAATGTGTATATCTGTCCGTATTTGTGCCACATCTCAAACATTGAGAATTCCTTCTTGCGAGTGTTTTTATGCCTCCCTCTATCCCGTACGGCAGACCACTGCTGGTGTGATATTTCATGCTACTTGGCAGCATTGGCGGCTGATTTATAGCCAATGGACTTCCGTCCAGGTAGCCTAGCCAGTAAATGTGTCGTCAATTATTCGTTTTTGCCAATCAGCGCTCGTTTGTCAAATTTCCCCATGCGACGTTTTGTGGTTCCACCCTGTTACAGTACAGCAGAGGCCTGGCGAAGCTTCGATAATCTGCTGATTGCATCACTGGGTGTACAGTAGCGTTGCCCAGAATCTCGGAGATACCTGTTTTGAAATGCTGCCCGCACGTTCATGCAGTTCCGGTCGGTGGTTCATTGCAGGTGTGGCCTGGCCCACGCCGAAGCTTCAGCAGCCCTAACCGCGTGAAAGTTCCTGACCAACAACTTCACGAGGGGCACGAGCGAGCCTTGTAGGTTCGGCTTTCCAAAGCCAGGCGCTTACCCAGCCAGGTCCTGCCTGGACTCGGTTTGGCGCGCCTGGTTTTGTTAGTCCGCGCCGTTCCGAGCCGAACGTAAAGACTTTTCCTCACTTGTGTTGGACGGGTTACTGTCCAAGCTCACTGTAGGTTTGCAGCAATCTTGGAGCCGCTGATGCAGCAAAGTCCGCTTTCCAGCAATCGAGCTGATCACTTTCACTTTCCCCACACTTCCCCTCCAACCTTCTGGCGGCTTCGCTTGGTTCGTTCCAGCCCACACCACTCTTTTCCACTCTTTTTGAACGCACAAAACCGCACTCCGCTCTACCCCACTCCGTGTGGAATGGCTTGTTTGGATTCAGTATTTTCAGTCTCGACTTGCCACACTCGTCATTTCTACAGGGGTTTCTCTCACATTCGAAGTGCCCTGAAGCTTTCTGCTCCCAGTGCTTTACGCAGCTTTAACGCGCTGTCCTAGCTGCTCCGTTGGGAGGCTTGTTAGCACCTCGCCTTGGTTCCAGTCGCGTCGTCTGCGAAGTCTGTGTGGATTTACAATTGTCGTAAAGCATAACCGTCGCACGCGTCGCAAGTGGTCGTCATCCATCGTCGCCGGCCACCATGACAACAGTCGCCGACTTCCACTCCACTCGCTACACCAGCTGGTGCCCGGAGCGCAAAGACATCGACCAATGTGAGCGTCAAGCCACTTTTATAACGTCACGCCACTTTTATTCCGTCCAATGTGCGCGCCGCGCGGCTCTTCTCTCTGTACGACGAGTTTTAATCGGTCCCACATACGCATACGATTCTGTCACTCGAAGTAAAGAACCGCCCGTTCTGAACATGAGGTACTGGAGTGTCGTAAAATACATTGCACGAGCTCTATCAATCGCTCGGGCTTTTCATTTTTGGGGAACTGATTCGTTCCTGAAGAGGTGAAGGAAGAGGGGAATGGCCTTCCCTCCTCTCCCCTCCCACCTGTTTTCCTCCTGCATTTAGGAACGGTTTCTGATCTTTATATATTCCTTTTTTCCCCGTTCAATCCTAATCCCCCCCCTCCTCCCCTTTCCCCCCTCCGCAAACTGTTCCCAGGGGCGAGCACTGTCGCAGAAGGCGGAGCTTCCCAGGACTGCCGCTTCCAGCCGCTGACGCTGCTGCCAGAGGATCACGAGAACGGGGAGGCTTGTAACGAGTATGACTACGCGGCGTGCGCGGAGGAGGACCTCGACGCGTACCTCGAGTCGCTTCCCAAGTCGAACCGCTGGACCGGTGCGTGCTGTGACACACGGCGTGAAAGACGCCGCAAATGACGCCGTGAACGACGACTTGCGGCTAGACCTGTGAATCTTAGCTGGAGATGCCACTACTTCGTGCGCATAAGATAATCTCGAGCGCATCTCGAGCCCTTTCGAAAGTCAAACCGAGGAATAGGTGCGCGCCATGGCGCCTGAGGATTCGCCTGGGACATTACCCAGAAATTCTCATAAAGGTGCACCTGGTGATGCTCCTACTAGCGGGACCTTTCCTCCGCGGGGTTCCGAGGCAACCGCTCGTGATCAGCGCAGGCAAAACGTGCGCATCGAGGAGCATCTTACGTCGTGTCCAGTCATTTTCTACTAAAACCAACATTCGTTCCTTTCTCGTTCCCTCTCATGTCCGTCCTTGCCAATGCTGCCTCCTGCATCCCCCAACCGGTTGAACCCCCGACCACCCATTCAGAGCTCGACATCACTCTTCCCGTTCGTTCCCTATCCGTCGTTTCCACTCTTCCTCCTTTTGTCCCAGATCCTGGTGGCAGGACTGAAAGCGTCATGCGCCGAGGCAACATCCGCATCGAGGAGCTTCGAGCTTCGTTTCGAAGCACTTCATTTATCCGTATCCTCGTTTTTCCATATCATCACCCCCGCAGAGCTCGAAGCGTCGTGTGCGTGGCTGAACCAAGCCAACATCCGCATCGAGGAGCTCGACCTCACTCACGGCCTGCCTAGAGGCACCGTCTGTAACCACCGTCTTTATCCATCTCCTCTTCACACCCCCTCCCCGCACAGCTGGAGGCGTCGTGCGCGTGGCTGGACCAGGCCAACATCCGCCATCGAGGAGCTCGACCTCACGCACGGGCTGCCAGAGCACCTCGTCCTGAACCAGCCACGTGCCCACCACGCGCCCGACACGCATAACCCACACGCTACTGCTGGCGCTGCTGCTACTTCTGCTTCTACAGCTGCGTTCCCTCTGCCTCCTGCCGTCCCTTCCGCTTCTGCTGCTGCAAGCCGCGACAGCAGGGGATCTTCACCACAAGCTCTCGTCCCACTCCTCCTTCTCAGGTGTTTCCACCAACTCGCAGCAGCACAAGCACCACCCCACGCTCCGGTCCCTCTCATCCTCTCTCCTTAACCACCTCGGGTTCTCCTCCCGCCCCCACTCTTCCCCCCGCTCCTCCCCCTCCCCCTCCGCCTCTGCCTCCGCCTCCGCCTCCCCTCTGAAGTCCCGCCAGGCGCCCAGACGCCATAGCAAGGAGTTCGCGCTCAGGCCGAACCCGCAGCAGCAGATTCACCACTCCCAGCCTCACATCTTCACCGCTCCCCATCCCTCACCACCATGCCTCTTCCTCCCCTGGTGTACCCCATGGCCAGTCCTCCTCCTACTCCTCCTCTCCGGGTGCCCCCTTTGATCCGATTCACAACTCTTCCTCTTCCCCGGGCATGCCCTTAGCCCCACTGCACCAATCCTCGTCCTCTCCTAGACTGCCCCTGGCGCCCATTCACCAGGCCTCATTTCACCACTCTTCCTCCTCTCCCGGAATGCTGGTTCATCCCAGTGGCGTTCCCTTAACGAAATTTGCTGTGCCAGAACACAGCGGGGTGCAGTATCAACCGGGCGTTCTTTACAGTCACATGGATGGGGCCGATCTGGGGGGCAGCAGTGGCATCTACAGTGCGAAATTCATTGATGCAGAGGAAGAGGTCACGGGTTGTAGAAATCATTGGGGCGAGTAACAGAGTCTTTGGTGGTGGTAACCCTACGCCGGCTGGTACGGCCGGTTACAGCTCTCGCCATCCCAACTTTGGAGGCAGCGCTAGGTTTATTGCTCCAAAAATGGTTCTGCAGGAGCAGCTGCAGCAGCAGCATCCTCGTCAGCACATGCCAAGTCAGCACCAGGCATTTGCCACGCCAGGTCGTGACATCAGCTCTCGGGTCATGTCATCTGTAGACAGCAGGACAGCAGGCACCGGCAGGACCTTCAAAGCATCCACGCTTTTCCTGCCTGAGTTTTCACCTGGGCCATCAGAGTGGCATCTGGTTGCTCCTCTTGGAAGAAGCTTCCTCTGAAGCCTCCTCCAACATGATTGCGCATAAGAGCTCAAACAGCATCAGCAGCGACTGCAGCAAGGGCAGCAGCGGCAGCAGTAGCAATGAAAATATCAGCAGCAAGAACAGCAGCAGCAGGAGTGGTGGTACCAGCAAGAAGAGTGGATTGCACAAGTTTTGGGCATCTTTATTGGATGGGGATACACACACCAAGGGGCGTGGAAGGAAGATTAAGGTGTGGATGGGAGATGGTCCTCGTGCAAATGTGGGTGTGAGTGCGTAGGGGCATATCGGTATTACCGTAGGTACCTTTCTATTATGCATATTAAATAGGTTAAAACCGACTCCACTAGCATGGATTATGTATTTTCTGTGCTCAACTGCATCGTATGTGACCATCCCTAACAGATCACAAAATAGAACAGCAGTCTCCATTGGCAAGTGTTCCTAAAGTACACATAATGCACGTGATGTGCAGGTGCAAGCACAAGTAGCAGGGAACTTTCTGCTGTTTGTCTAGTTCACATCTGTTACGAGTGCAATGGAGTGAGCGAGCGAGGATTGCACTATCGAGACAAGAATACAATGAGCGAAGGATTGAGCGAAGAATATATAGCGAAGCTACGGTGGTAACGGTAACGTGGGAAATTGGGGTGCGCGACGGGCCGGTGCCGAGGTTGGGGACTGTCGAGGCGGAGGTCCGGAGCGCGGGTTACCAACCTAACCCCGAGGTTGGGTCGCATCGTGAACAGTGGCGGGAATGGTGTCGATGCGAATGTCGCGAGTGGTAACGGAATATTGTGGGGTGCTGTTGGCGGGAACAGTGGTGTACGCGCAGAGTAGGGACGCGAAGTAAGGAAAATGAGTTCTCCTTACACTACCCCCCCCCCCCTCAAGGAGTCCTCTCTTTACGAGAGCGCGTGTATATCCCGGAAATTTCGGCTGCGCAGGTACTCGTTGAGGACGGGGTGGTTTTCAATTTTGTCAAATTGTCCTGCGCAGGTACTCGTGGAACCCAATTGTCCTCGGTGGGCGTGCGGTCTCTCCAGCGGATTAGAAATTCGACCCTTCGAGCTCCTCGTGGGTCACGAACTCGGTGGCTCAGAATCTTCTCGGATGTGATGACTGGCTCGGTCGGTGGTCGTGTCATGCTGGCTGGGCGATTTCGTGCCAGTTGGCTGGTGGATGGAATGTAGGGGCAAAGCAGGCTGACGTGGAAGGACGGGCTGACGTACCAGTTAGCAGGGAGGAGGAGGTGGGCGGTGACAGGTGTGATCATGTGGCTTATGCGGAATGGCCCGCACTATCGGGGGCGAAGTTTCGGAGTTATGGGCAGGCGGAGGTTTTGGGTGTCGAGTAGAACTAAGTCGTCGGGCTGGTAAGTGACGGGTCTGCGGTGGCGGTCGGCGTTGCGCTTAGCGATGACGTTGGCTTTCTTTATTGCGTCTGCTGCCCTGGTTCGTGCTGCCTGTAAAATTTCTGCGAATTGTTGTGCCCGTGGCACCGGGTTGTCGGGATTCGGGGTCATGGGTACTGTAGGGTCTTGTCCGTAGTTCAGGTAGAATGGTGATTGTTGGGTCGTGGCGGATGGCGAGTTGTTGTACGCGAATTCGATAAGTGGCAGTTGCTGTTCCCAGGTGGTGGGGTCGTTGCACGTGGCTCGGATTAACTATTCCATGGTCTGATTTGTCCGTTCTGTCTATCCGTCGGTTTCGGGGTGGTACGAAGAACTGAACTGTAGCCTCGAGCCGAACTGCTGCCACAGGTTCCGCCAGAAATTGCTGGTGAATTTCGTATCGCGGTTGCTGATGATTGCTGCTGGTATCCCGTGTAATTGAACAATGGTTGCGATGAAGAGGCGGGCCGTTTCTTCGGCTGTGATTGATTTTTTTGCATGTTGCGAAATGTGCCATTTTTGTCAATCGATCGACGACGACCAGGATCGCGTCGTTCCCACTTGCTCCGGCCGGGTAACCCCGTGACGAAGTCCATTGTCACCTGCTGCCAAGCACGCTCTGGGGGTGGTATCGGCTGCAAACTGCCCTGCCGGTTCGCTTCCGTGATGATTTCATGACTTGGCAGGTGGGGCACGATGCCACGTGTCGTTGCACGTCGGTCAACATATTTGGGCCAGTAGTAGTACCCGCTGCAGCTGGTGCCGTGTTTTTTTCTACTCCGAAATGGCCTGAGGTGACGTCGTCGTGTGCCTCTTGTATTAGTCATTCCCGTAGAAGTGTGTAGCCCGGTACCCAGATTCGATCGGTGCCAGCTTTTACGTAATAGACTCCCCTTGCTGCCTGCAAACAGCTGCGAATTTCCGCCTGTAAAAAATGGGTCAGTCTGATAACCGTGGGTAAATAGGCCTGTCAGCAGTGGGCTGGTCTGGGCGAGTAGTATGGCGTGGACTTGGGCTGTGGGCCAGGTTAATGCGTCGGCGATGTTCGATACCCCCTTTTTGTAGGTGACCGTGTAGTGAAAATTCGACTCGAGGTAGTCGAGCCAGCGGATTTGTCGTGGGTTGAGGTGGGGTTGTGCGCGGAGGGTACTGTAGAGATTTGTGGTATGTCCGTACTGTCACGTCGGCGCCGGTCAAGTAACAGCGCCACACTTTGAATGCATGCACGATCGCAAGCATTTCATGATCGTGTATCGGGTAATATTTCTCGGGCGGATGCAACTTTCGTGATTCTTATGCAACGGGCTGTAAACCATTGCCGAAATCCTGTAGAAGTACGGGTCCAATGGCGATGTCGCTTGCGTCGGTAACCACTTCGAATGGGCGGTGTGGGTCGGCGATGCGCAGTACGGGCGGTGAACAGAGAACAGTTTTCAGGGTAGAGAAGGCAACATGCTCTTTCTCCCCCCACGTAAAAGTGACCCCCTTCCCGTAGTAAGTCCGTCAGCGGGGCAGTTAAGCGTGCCATGTCGGGGACGAATCGAAACACGTAATTAACGAACCCTAAGAAACTATGAAGCTCCATGATGTTCGTAGGGGGATTCCACGCTTTTACAGTGTCCAGTTTCTTCGGGTCGATTTCGACTCCAGCCTCGGAAATAACGTGCCCCCAAAACTCTAGCATATCTTGGAAATACTCGCACCTGGAACCCTTGGTCAGTAGTCTGTGTTTGTCTAAAACTGTAAATACTGCTTCTAAATCGGCTAAGTGCTGCTGCTTATCCCGACTGTAGACTAGAATGTCGTCGAGGTAGATGATCACACATTTATCTAAGAGTGGTCTAATCGCCTCGTTCATTGTCATCTGGAAAGTCGCCGGCGCGTTGGTCAGCCTAAAGGCATCACTGTATATTCAAACGACCCATACCTAGTCCTAAATGCTGTCTTGGCACAGTCTGATGGTTCGACCCGAATCTGGTGGTAACCTCCCCGTACATCAATTTTCGAAAAAACCCGTGCTGTTCGCAAGTTGATCTATCAGTTCGTCGGCGCGGGGGATGGGGTATCGTGATTTGACTGTAACCCTGTTCAGTGCTTTGTAGTCGATGCACATGCGAAATCCTCCGTCCCTTTTCGGTGTGAACAGGATCGGCGCGGCGAATGGGGACGAGCTCGGTCGGATGAATTTCTTCTCTAACAGGTAATCTAACTGCTTCCTTAACTCGTCGAGCTCGGGCTGTGTCACTCTGAACTGTCGCTGTACGGTTGGCTGTGCCCCGGGTTCTAGTTCTATTCGGTGATCGTGCGCCCGCTGAGGTGGCAGACCCTCCGGTAAATCATCGTGAAAGATCCCCGGGAACCGTTTCAACAGTTCCCGTAACTCCGATGGTACTGCCGCCAGTAGTTTCTGAAAATCGCGCATTTGATCTGCTTCTTCCACTATTGTGATATCCACCGCGTACACGTTAGCTCCAGCGGCGACAGCCCGTTTCATCGTGATGGCGTTGACGTGGACCGTTGAAGACTCAGGCGACTGCCAGCGAGGTAGTTCGACCCAGTTACCGCTACTTCGCACAGTGCAGCTACCCTTCGTCCACTCGATTCGCGGGTTGTACCGTCGCAGCCAATCACGTCATAGTAAAATGTCGTGCCCATCCAATGTCGTCGCGAGCATTTCCTGTGTAAACCCGAAGTTTCCCCCACAGCGGACTTTTTCTCTCTACTTATATGGCCAGCGGCGTTACGTCAACTAAACGTGCATCGATCTCCGGTAAACACCGACTAAGTGCCGAGTCGCAACTTCCCTTGCAGTCGCGGTGTTAACTAAACTAAGGCTTGTGCCCCCGTCTATAAAAATCTTCACTGCTGCTCCCTGTATTTTTCCCGTGAATCAGTACTGGGCCAATCCGTCGCTGTACCCTCCTTATTCGTCCGAGCCTGATCGATAGCGTGAATCGGTACTGTGA